TCCAATGCCATCAAGTCAAGTCTGACTCATAATGACCGGAAATAGGATTTCCCAGGTTGTAAATCTATCCAGGGGAAGACAGCCTCGTTTTCTTCTGCAGAGCAGTGATGGGCTTGAAGCTTCAAAGGTTAATGGCCCAAGGCCTTATCCATAGCGCGACCAGGGTGTGAGAGATGAGAAATAACTACTAAAGGTTATGGGGTTTCTTTTTGGGGTAATGGAAATGTTCTGGAGCTAGTAGTAATGATAACAAAACTTTGTGAACATACTAAAAACCAACATAAAGGATAAGTTTTATGGTAGGTGGATTATAGCTGAATGAGGTTATTTTATTTTTCAGGTGTAAAGCAGACACCTTAAATTTTAAAAAAGGTTTTGTTATAGCTAGACAGACAACTGGCTGGATGCAGCACAAAGATGGTATGAACTTTTAGTGTTTATGGTACTCTTGTGCATTAAAATGTTTTTCTTCCATGTGTGTGAATAAGCTATGAAAATTGATTAACTTAAACCAGAAATTTCAGTATTTTAATTATATATATTGAAGGTTTTTAAAAACTTCTGTGACTATAACTCTTTTAAAAATTATTATTATTAAAGGATCATTTTATTGGGGGCTTTTATGTTAAATGTTGTTACTCCTGTTACATCAAAGTTGATTTTTGCTACCTAAACCTGAAGAATATTATGTCATCAGTATATTTTACATAATTTGAAATAGTTAATTATCAGTGAAATGATTTAGGATGTTCCCAGTCCTCATAATTTACACATAGAATTCTGATTCGAATTTGATTAATAGACATTGTAGATACCCTGTCTTTTCTCTGGGTTTGGTTAAGATTTTCTTTCTTTTTTTTATTTTTTAAGATTTTCTTAAAGTTTAGACATTTCTTTGCTTCCTTAATCAATATCGTTTTCTTTTTCTGGAATTTCTCTGAAAAAGTTAATTCTGGCAGGATGAAATGAGTCACAAATTCACCACAGGGACTCTATCCCTTTGGGGTCACAAATAACAAAAAAGAGTGTACTTTTGGATGGCCAAGTTAGCATTGCAACTATAAAACTATTTTGTTGCTACTTCATAACTGCAATTTTGCTACTGGTCATTCGACCCCCAAAGGGGTTGCCACCCACAGGTTGAGAACCGCTGCTCTAGAGCCTCAGCGTTTTAGATGCTTTACTCCGGAATCAGGATGCTGGCAGTGCTGACTCCTGAGGACTCTGGAAGAAGCTGCTCCGTGTTGCTCTCCTGGCTTCTGGGAATTCTTAGCAAGCTTGTCTTTCTGGGGTTGTAGCGTCTTGATGTGATTGTCTTCCCTCTGTCGCTCTCCCGTGTGTCTATTTCTCTTTTTAGAAGGACGTCAGGCAGATTGGACTACAATGAAATGTGCAAAGACATAGAGTTGAATAACCAAAAGCTCAGCGATGGTTCGTTTTCTTTTTTTCATCATTTTATTAGGGGCTCATACAACTCTTATCACAATCCATACATCCATCAATTGTGTAAAGCACATTTGTATATTCGTTACCCTCATCATTCTCAAAACATTTGCTTTCCACGTAAGCCCCTGGCATCAGCTCGTGAATTTTCCCCCTTCCCTCCCCGTTCCCCTCTCCCTCGTGAGCCCTTGATAATGTATAAATTATTATTGCTCAGCAATTTTTCATGGAGAAAGAAGCAAAGAGAAAAATCAAGTCTTTAGAGCTGAAGTAGTGACAGATTTTATGGAGTGTGTGTGTGTGTGTGTGTGTGTGTGTGTGTGTGTGTGTGTGATATGCCCGGTAAAGCACAGGGCCAAGAAACAAAGAGGAAGGCCCTCATCAAGATGGATGGTGATTGCAATGCGTGTGAAGATGCGGCCGGACTGGGCAGTATCTCGTTCTGCTGTACACAGGGCCACTCTGGGCCAGAACTGACTCGAGAGAACCCAACAGCAACGACAACAGCAGGTGTGCGAGTGTAGAAAGAACTGGTCAACTGCCAACCATTTCAAGAGGTAACAGGTGAACAGCATGGAGTTGGACATGTCTGACTGTGTCAGTACAGATTGACTAGAGAAACAAATCCAGAGACACTCGTATATGTATAAGAGAAAACTTTATATCAAAGAGTAATTGTATATTAAGAAAACATCCCAGTCCAATCCATGGGAAGTCCATAAATCCGATATCAGCCCATATGTCCAATCCTAGTCTATAAATTCTTCTTCAGACTCACACAGCACATGTAATGATGCCGAATGCAAGAAGGTCACAGGGCAGAAGGTGGAACGTCTGGGGATCCAGTGGCAGTAGAGGCATCTCAACGTTGGCACGTCTCCACGTGTCTCCTCCAGCTCTCTGAGTGTCTCAACAGCAGGAAAGGGAAGGCGGGGAGAGAGGTCCCTCCAGTGAGGTATTTATTGCTATTCCACCTCCAAATGAGGTCATCAACTGCGACCTGATTGACCCCTTTGGTCAAGTTGCCAGATTATTTAACTGCCACACTGACCGTCTCTGGCTTCTCCATTGCCATAAGACAAGAGTCAGTTATGACTCCATGCTCCATCCTTAGTTACCTGTTCCAGCACCAATCATGCCTCCATGCCATATTACATCTATGCTGGGTTTGAAAATTCATTACAGTGGCCACACGGAACTCACAAACAATACTCACAATTAAGGGAGTTTATTAGGGTTGTCAATAGGACACCAGAAGTCAGCACCAGCAAACAATAAGAGTACAGTCACTGGTCCACAGCACCATCCTCAACCAACAGCCAACTTCTCTCCAGTCCTCGGTCTCTCAGAAACATACATGGTCCTTTGCCCTTTGCCTCCATCGGTGAGAAAGCCAGCCTGCCTGTCTCTCAGTCCTAGGCCTCGTCCATAGTCAGGCCAGATGAGACGGTGCCCCATTGTCTTGGGGCTGCTCCTCTGAGTCTCCATGCCACAGTCTGTGTAAGGCACCTGATCTTGCCTGCCTTTACCAACTTCAGACACAGCTACTGGACTCCCTCTTTCAAAGTCCTCGGAGGTCTGACTCTCTCATGCTTTAAGGATAGCTCAGCCTTACAGAGGGTGGGAGTGGGGGTGGGGGTAATGGGTAGGGACTGGTGTCCCACCCAATCATTTGCAGGGAGTTACAGAGACTTGTGTGGAAGAGGTCTATTAAGAAATTTCACTCTACCACCATTACATAGAACCAAGAACTGATGATACTAAAGGAAGAAATCCAAGCTGCAATGAAGGCATTAGTGAAAAACAAGGCCCCAGGAATTAACAGATTACTCACTGAAATAATGAATAATAGTGTTTCAACAATGCCAAACACTATGGAGCAGTTCTACTTTGACCTTTAGGGTCCATTCTATGATAACAGATCTGCTTTAAGCTCATTTTTGAAGCCATTGTGTCAACCTATCTCATCTAAGGCCTTCTTTTTTTTCTGCCTCTGCATTTTCACAAACATGATGTTCCTCTCTAGGGCCTGGTCTCTCTTAATAACATGTCCAAAATATGTGAGACAAAGCCTGGCCATCCTTGCTCTAAGAAGCATTCTGCCTGAACTTCCTCCAAGTTATCTGTTTGTTCTTTTGGCAGTCCACGGTACTTTGAATTTTCTTCGCCAACATCATAGTTTAAATGGCTCAACTCTTTTTTGGCCTTCTGTTTTCTTTGTCCAACTTTCACACGCATGTGGGACACTTGAAAATACAATGTCTCAGGTCAGTCATATCTTTGTCCTCAAAGTAACCTCCTTGTTCTTCAATACTCTAAAGAGGTCTTGTGCAGCAGATTTACCTAATGCCTAATGCAATGCTTAAGTTTGATCTCACTCGAAGAGCTGTGGCTGTTGAGGAGTCGCAGTGGCACAGTGCTTACATCGGGGTGCTAACAGCAGGTCAGCAGTTTGAAACTACCAAGAGTTACAGACTTAGGGACTCACAGGGACAGTTCTCCCCTGTCCTCTAGGGCCACTGTGAGCTGGCATCTGCTTGATGGCAGTGAGGTTGATTTGATCAACTTAAAGACAAATGCCCCAAGTTGATGTGGGATACTATGCTACATTCATGTGGACATACATTCTGAGATCTTACACAATATAATTTTGAGAAGGGATATATTCTTTTAGATATATTCTTTCTTCTATTATGAACACTATATGCTTTATTATGCAGAATTGTCTGTTTACAGTACAATCATCATGACTAGAGTAATTAACATGTAAATGACACTTTTATCTCTAAGTTTTGGGATTGATTTAAAGTAGCAAACATCTTTTGGTAGAAAGGTTATTCTGAATGATTCCTTTGTATACAAATCTCACTGCCATCGAGTCAACTCAGACTCACAGTGACCCCTTAAGGGCAGGGTAGAACTGTCCCTGTGGGTTTCTGAAATTGTGACTCTTTCCCAGAGTAGCAAACCTCTTCTCCCGCGGAAGGGCTGGTGGTTTTGAACTGCAGACTTTGCAGGTAAACAAACCAAGTGTCCTCCAGCTGGTTGGGGCAGAGGGCGGGGCCGCCAAGATTTGTGGGCGGAGTCGCACAGAGACGGGGAGGGCTGTTTGCTATTGCTGGGCCGGATTCGGCTCCTCGAGAGCCACTCGGCTCTTTTCGGCTCCAGCTCTGGCCGGGAGTCGTCAATTTGGCGCACGCGCACTCGACTTCACTGCTCCTCGGGTCGCGCTTCGTCTGGTCTTTTCACTTCCTTCTCGTTGGAGCTGTATCCGGGTCGTTTCTTTACCCATTGTCTCAGGCAGTCGGCCTCCGACGGTGCCAATTTGGGGTCTTTTGTTGTTTCTGATGCAGGCTAATAAAGTTTTTCTTTCTTTTATTTTTGCTTCCAGTTTTAGCGGGGGAAATTAGCACCCCGGGCCGCCAGTTCGCCGCGCTGCATGGGCCAGAGGGCGCCGCCGGCCGGGGCGCGCCGTGGGCAGGGGCGCGAGCGGCGGGAGCTGGGTCTGCGAGGACTCGGGGGCGGGCGGGGACCCGCGGGGCTGCTGCTGCTGCGCCCCGACCGGGTCGGCGGCGTCTCCAGTTCTAAATAGCATCCTTCGGACTTGGCCCCGCGGCCCCACTCCCCGATCTCGGTGCTGCCTGGGCTCTGGCATCCTCTCCCTAGGTGTCCTCCAAACGATCACCTCACGGATTCCTTAGTAAGTGTGTCCGAGGCCTCCGAGGGCCGAGAGGTCCAGCTCAGCCCTCCTACGGAACAGGAGGAGCCGGGCGGGTGGGCAGTCTGGTGGCGACCCTTCGTGGGCGGGCCGGCCCCCCTCCAGGGTCTGCAGGAATGCACAGGGTTTCTTGGAGTCCCTGGGCTTTGCATTTTCCTATGGACTGATCACTCATCACAGTGTCTGAATGAAGCGTTGCGAGCAAGCCCCAGAAACAGCCCTGCAAGGTGTGGACTTGGAGGGTCAGCTTTGATTTTGGCCCGTCTGGGATTGCATTGAGCCTTCAGGCAATGGCTAAGCGTTTGGCTGCTCAGGCTGGCAGTTAGAACCCACCAGGCGGTTGGAACCCCCCAGCTGCTCCTGGGGAGAAGGATGGGGCAGTCTGCTTCCGGGTATGGATTACAGTCTTGGCAACCCCACGGGGCAGTTCGACTCAGTCACATCGAGTCACTTTGATATGGCTGCATGGTAGAGGGCTTGCTTTCTGGGGCTGGGGGGCCAGTGTGGGTTCACGTTGTGTGCACGGGTGCCCATTAGATTTCCAGCCCTTCCAGGCTGGTGCCCTCCTCCCAAACACCCCCTAGCCCCCGATAAACCTTTTCTGGAACTGAAGTTGATTTCCTGCGCGATGGCTGTATCTTTCCACAGCACCATAATTCCCGTTGGTGTGATGAATGACGATGGTACTATTTTTCTCTTAACAGTGGATCGCAGCTCCAAGAGGAGGCAGGTGAAGCCTTTGGCAGCTTCTCTGCTAGAAGCTCTCGATTACGATAGTTCAGATGACAGTGATTTTAAAGTTGGAGATGCTTCAGGTAATCGTTTGCTTCACTCTTCCCTTCTTCCAGCTTTCTGGACTTGGCTTATTTTCAGATTTCTTTCCCCCTCTTTTCAACAATCAGTTTTGGTTCCATGCCGATTTAACGTCAAAGCACATTAACGTCATTTATTTTGTCCATTTGGTTTCCCATATTTCCCCAAGATCCTGTCACTAGATCCTACCATTGCTTGTTTTTGCTGTTATTTATTAGCAAGCAGGGAAGGCCTTACTCCAAAGATGCAAAAGCATTTTCTTTATGGATACCTTAAAATATAGGTATGTACATTTCATGGGTCAAAAAGAGTCCGGGATTTCTGGCTTGTGAGAGTCATGCGGGCCATAAACGGCCCAGGAGCAGGATTCTTTTATTTTCAAATCACTCCTACCCCGGGGAGTTTGTTTTTTTCTGTCTTTAAGCAGAATAAAAATTTTAACTTTAAGTTATAGTAGGGACTGCATTTTGTGGCTTCGGTGTTTCAGAAATTACTGAGGCATAAAGCATGTATCCTTACTCATCATATTTTATGATTTTAATGATTTTTAAAGGTAATAATTTATATATAAAATAAGAAAGTATACAAGGGAGTACCCCCAAAACCCTGGAATTGCACTGGGCAGAGCAGAGCATTTTCCCCGCTAGGCGGGCACCTCGCATCTCGCATTGCGCTCTGAGAGAGTGCACCCAGTGGAGTGGCCTGGGACGTTCTCTCTGGTCACAGTGAATTTTTTCATGAAAGCAGTTTTTCTCTGACCTCGTTTTTTGTGATGGCCGATTTAAGAGAACAGCGTGCGGCTGTGAAATTTTCTTTCCTCTGGAAAAATGCCGCAGAAACTATTGTGATGTTGAACGCAGCTTCCAAGGATAGCGCTATGGCTCAAACTAAAGTGTATGAGTGGTTTTCTCTTTTCAAAAAAGGTGAAATGTCGATTGATGACAAACCTGGTTCTGGATATCCGTCAACTTCTCGAATGGACAAAATTGTTGACTCAGTGCATTTTTAGTTTGTTTACCAGGTCAGACTGTTAATCAAGCTTTCTATTTAGAGGTTCTGAAAAGATAGCATAACAGTGTGCGACAAAGAAGGCCTGATTTGTGGCAGATGGGGCACTGCTTTCGCCACCACGACAATATACTTGCCCCTGCAGCCATCTCAGTGCACCAGTTTTGGAAAAAAAACATCATGCCTCTCTTGGATAGAATCACAGATTTGACAAATGGATTAAGCATAATGGAGAATACTTTGAAGGTGATAAGGTTTTGTAAAAAAAAATAACTACATAGCTTTGAAAAAAATTCCTTTTTTCTTTTTTTGGGTACCCCCTTGTATAAAATGTAGTTTCTCTTTTGTAGCTTTTCAGCATAGAACCTTAACTGAAGGAATCTGAAAAACATTTATGTTAAAATAGTTTCTATAAAAAATACTAATCCACACACATGAGAAACAAAAATTAGTTATTATCCTGTGTCGTTTGATGGAAGTTAAATAAAGTGAGAAATCAAAGGCCTTCTAATTTCATCCAGCTTTTTAATATCCTTCCTGAAAGTTTCCTAGAGTAGCCCTCCTGTCAGATTTTCTCTGTAGGGTCAGTAGGGAGAGGTGAAATTAAGCTGTACTGTGTTACTTGTTGCACATTTAATAATGTCAGCAAGCAATATTGCTTTATGCTCTACTGAGACTTTTTCTTTTAATACTAATTTTTATAATAAATCAGTGACTGAGATATTCTTTTATTTATAAAGATCAGGTTACTGAACTTATAGAAGTTGCATGAAGTCACTCAGGTGGTAATAAGTCTGATTTTTATGTCTTTAGATTCCAAAATATTTTCACCGTTCAGTTCTTAGAGGATACCGATGTGCTGTTAACCACATAGATATTGTAGTTGCCTAATTAGTTCTTGCTTAGCAAGTTGCTAAGTTTAAGTGCTTTTTAATCTTGCTTCTGGGTCTTCAGTCCTTCTGCCATTTAGTCAAGGAGCTGAGTGGCTCACTAGTTAGTAGCTGGCTGTTAACCAGGACTGCTCCTTCTCTGTAGCACCTTCATTGATGTTTGGTAATTAATAAAGAAAGGCATACTGGAGATGTGACAGGAGTTAACATTTAAATCTATCTTCTTAGTTCTGTTGAAACTTTTGCAAGCATGTTCTTTTTGGCTAGAATATATATATTTTAATTTTTGGTTTATAATACAAATTGTGGTAGCAATTAAAAACAGACAGTAATAATTGGGTCTCAGAAAGTATGACTTACTCAAGTACCATTATAAAAAAAACTCCAAAGCATATTTTCTGTAAGTATTCTGTAATTATTTTTGTCACAATACGTCTGTGGTTTTTTTCGTTGGTAGCTCTTCTTCTTTTACTGACATTGAGTCATTCACTACAGGCCTCATTTTTCTTTACGAGGGACAGCACAGTCCAATTTACAAGGGCAAACTACACTCTCACAGCACTTTATGGTTTCAGGTTAAGTAGTGACTCCTGGCCTTGTTAAATCCCAATCAGAATGCTCAATCTGTGAAAGTTTGTAGGGTGAGTTTGGTTAGGTTGGCGATATTTTTTTCTAATTAAATTTGATAGTTTTTATCAAATTGTTGTATCTGTTCTGCTGTACTAGGCCCTTACTTTGCCCGGAGAGAGCTTAAACATGTGACGTCAGATCATTATTGCACATTACTGATTTTAATTAGCCATTACTTTATTTTGGTTATCTGAATAGTTCTTCATACATTCATGCTAATGAGAGTTCAGTAGAAAATAATGTCATTGAAAAGGAAAAAACAATCATAGTTTCTACTATTGCTTCATAGCATACTGGTGCCTCTCTACAGCTAAGATGTTGGTTTAGTATAGATTACTGGTAGTTTTTGTTTGAATCTTTTCTCTTCTGTACCTAAGGTAGTATATTTAATTGGAATTTATAGGAAATAAAATATTAGCTATATTACTGGTTTTCAAACATATGGAGATTAAGTTTGAGATGGAGAAACTCACAGCTGAATATCTGTCCTGATTATAGCTCTTGCAAAACACCATGTAGAAATGGCTCATTGGCTTTCTTAGACTTAAAAGCCAAACTAGATTGGTTGGGAACAATTTTGTTCACTGTGCATTAGCTTCTTCTGATCTTCATTTTGAAATTCAGTCTGTAAAAATTTTATATCTCTTTGAATTTAATAATAAGCATATAAAACACTGAAAGGTTATATTCAACCTTGCAGATAACACACTTTTAGTCGCATACTTTTCAGGTGATGCAATAGGAAAAAAAGAAGGCAACATTGCTGACAAATAATTGGCTAGTGATCTTAATAAAGATAATAAATATGAGCCCATCTTTGGCGGTGTAGTATGTTAATGCCGTGGGCCACTCAGGAGAACGAGGAAGCTTTCTATTCCCTTCAAAGTTGACACTCTTGGAGACCGGTGTGGGCACTATGAGTTGGAGTCAACTCGATGGCAGTGAGTGAGTGAGAAACTGAGAAACTGAAAATAGCTAAAGTGAGAGCAAAGCTCATTTTTTAATCAAGACAGTCAATAAATTTTAAAATAAAATTGTATATAACACTGAAAGCCTAGAAATGGGTGTTATTATTAGAAACATGGTGATAATCACCAGAAGAATCCTAGATAAAAATATTAGGGGGAGTCACATGTAACAGTAGAATATTGGCAATTTCATGGCTCATCCTCGTTAAAATGAGTATATTTGAGATTTAGGCCTAGATTGGGAGTAGAATAAATTATTTATGTATGTTACACAATCTATAAAATGAATGCTTTTATACATGCATGCATGAATGACCTTTTGTTAAACAAGACAAACTAGGACTAGTGGGGACTAGAGTTCCCACCAAAAGAAAGAAGGTTAGCTTTAGACCTTGTGCAGTGGTGAGTTTGGTTAGGCTGTATGATTGGAAAATAATTTAACTGGAGGAAGAGTTAGAGACTTTGATTTTTGTGCTTAATCTGACTTTGGATAAGTGGACCAAATTATATTCATTAACCATCTATAGTTTTCTATATCACTACTATGTGCTTTGCTGAGTTTGTAAAGCAGTAATAGTAGTAATACTAATGATAATAGAGCAATTAAATAAAATGAGGATGCGTTGAAAGCATGACTATTATAGCATTTGTAGTTCAAGACTTTCAGAGGAATTTGGTTTATTTTCTACTGGATTGATTTTGAAAAGATCTCATGGAGGAAATAAGAGTTGAATTTTGAACTGAAAGAGGTGATAGCATATTTAGATAAATTACAATCTAGGTAGGGAAAGCATGAAGTATATATACGTGGAGATAGAAAAATGTCAGGTATAGTTCAGGATCAGAATTGGGTAAAAAATAGTAGAAGCAATAAGTCCGGGAAAATAGAATGACGTCAAACTGAAGTCTTCCCCACTAGACCAGGGTTTCTCAATCTCGACACTGTTGGCATATTGTGTTGAAAAAGTCTTTGTGATCGGGTGTTTCCTTGTACATTGTGAGATGTTTAGCAGCATCCCTAGTCTGTACCTACTAGAAGCAAGCCAATAGCAGACCTCCCCCCTCTTTTATGGTAACCATTGACCCCTTGGGGGCTTTGTGGTCCCTGCTTAAGAACCTTATGTCTACATTTATTCAGAAAACTTAAGGTGACAGAGTTGGAACTAGAGTCAGAAGTAGAGGATGAGTTGACGAGACTTGTTGATGGGTTGGCTATTTTAAGAGATTTATAGAATGAGTCACAGATGGCCCTAAGATGATAGCTCCGAATAACCAATAAACTGATGATGTATTATATATTGTATATATGTATAGTACTAATCACTGTTGCAAGGATCGATGAATCCGATATTTAAAATAGACGCACGTATTGCAAAAGATGGTTCTTTATTTTGTAAAGCTAACATAAAACTCTGAGATTTGGTTTTATTTAATATTTAAAATCATGGGGAAGCTTAGGTATTGAATAGAATGGTATTGATGGTTGATTAATTTATTTCAGTTTTATTTAATATTCTAAAGGGATTCTCGAAGGTTGGTTTTTAAAATTTTATACAAATAATTCTTATATTGTGTATAGTTGAAATAGCTATTGTTAGGGAGCTTTTCTTAGATTGTCCATTTGGGAAAGGTTTTGTTTTTTTTTTCCTTTTATTTAACTGAGTGGGAAGTAGGGATTTCAATTCAATTATTTTTCAGTGTAGACAAGTTTATTGTACACTTGAACTTATCTCTGTGTTATACCAAGATATCTTTTTGTGACGTGGTTGACTCCTTAAGACAGGAGCCCTGGGCCGTGCTGCCTGATAAGTGTTGGACTAATAACTGCAAGGATGGCAGTTCAAACCCACCAGGCACTCTGTGGGAGAAAGACGGGGCTATGTGCTCTTGTGAATGTCTACAGCTGTGGAAACTCTGTTAGGGTCCTGAGTTGGCATTGACTCCATGGCACGAAATTGGAGTCTGACCCATCATTAGTCTGGTCCTTGTTTTTCTTTTTTAGGATGTGGGAGTGAAGGATTTGGAAGATGTCACAAAATCATCTTTTGAGTTTGTGTTTTTCTTGGCAAACTATAAATTATAACTATGGACACCTAAGACCTGGTCTTTCTTACTGACATTACCAAATTGTATTTATAGTTAAATATCTTTTAATAGATCCCTGATCCCGTGGACTTGCAGCTAATATAATGTGTGTGAAGAATAAAAGGTTGAACTGGATTTGAGGGAAAATTTCACATTCTTCTGTTAATAAAAAATAAATTTGAAGCATTTAATTTTAAAAAGCCATTACTTTCTTTTCTGGCCTGAGTAGAAAACAAAATCAGTTTCTCTGCACTTAAATAACAACAACAAAATGATAGGCGTTGGCAACAAACAACCAAAACACCACCACAAAAATTCCTGACATTCTGTAAAAAATTTTCAAAACATAGCTAAGTTGTATTGAGCCCAATTCTGATCTGGGACCTACATTTCTGCCCGTGTGCTTTTATAACTACTAGGACATTTTCATGGATAAAACAAGATTTTTAGAAGATGAGTTCAGAAGGACCCTCAACCCCAAACCCCAAACCCACTGCCATTGTGTAGCTTCTGACTCAGAGTGACCCTCCATGCAGACTAGAACTGCCCTTTTGGGTTCTGAGGCTGTAAATTTTTATGGGAGCGGATATCCTTGCCATCTTTCTCCCACAAAAACATCGGTGGAGTTGAACTGCTGATCCTGTGGTTAGTAGTCCAATGTGTAAAAATGGCTTGGCTTTCAGTATGTTTTAACTCTGTGTAGTCAGTGTGTGTCAAAGGCCCTCATTGCCTTAGATGTGTGGAGTTAACTCTGCTTATGAGGTTCTTATATTAAAATCAGAGTCCCTTGATGGTGCAAATTGTTCATGTGTTTGTTTTGAAGTGTAGATTGTAGGTTTGCATCTGCCCTCAGTTCCCTTGGTAAAAGGAAGGTCTGATTGTCTCAAAAAATCAGCTATCGAAAACCTTATGGTGCCAAGTTCCAGACTGCCATGACCCATACGGGCTTCCCAGAGCCCACTGACTAGAGGGCAATTGATTCACATTAGAATTCTTTTTACAAAGACAGCTTTTATATATTCTACTATGTATCATGTAACATGAATATATTTTTGTAATAAATGCATTAGAAGTATTTATTACATAAAATACATATAAATATTATAGCTGAACTTTTTTTTTTACAGGATGTGGTTTTTCTGGCAGGTTTAATTGTAGAGTTTTGAAAAATAAAAAAATCAATTATTTGTAATTGATTGTTATAATTATTGTAAAAAAATTAATTATTGTAGAGAATGGAAGCCATCTTTTTGTGATTTTTAATATTTATCTGTTCATTTGGGTGAAGACATGAGCAGCCAGATATACACCATTTTAACAGTTTCAACATGTATCGTTCATTGCCTTGAGTATGTTCTTCAAGTTGGGCCGTTGCTCTTGCTGTCTGCTTCCAGGGCATTCATTACCATTCTCCTCACCTCACCTCACCTCACCAAGCTTCCCGTCCAATCTTTGAATAGAGTCCTTTGATTGACACTAATAGACATTTATTTGTAATATCTGTTATTATTATTTTAAAATGTTATTGTTGTTAATTACATATACAACAAAACAGACACCAATCCAACAGTTTCTGTATGTCCGATTCAGTGACATTGATCACATTCTTCAGGTATGCCAACATTCTCAAGCCCCCTTTGCTGAGTTGCTGCACGCCTGTTAACATAAACTCCCTGCGCCCTGAGTTTTCTTTCTAATCTTTGACGTTGTTGTTGATTTGATCCTATGTAGTTCATTTTTAAAAGTCACTTTGGCAGTGTAGTGGTCACAAATTGGGCTACTAACCACAAGGTCGGTAGTTCAAAACCACCTGCTGCTGTTTGAGAGAAAGACAAGGCTTTCTACTCCAGTAAAGAATTAAAGTCTAAGAAACCCACAGGGGCAGTCCTGTCCTGCTCTCTAGGGTCGCTATGAGTTGGAATCGACCTGATGGGAGTGAGTCTTTATTTTTTATGGCTCTGGAGAATTCTGGAGCCCATGAGAATATGAAATTCTGTTCTGCATTTTCCCCCATTTAATCAGGATTCTTCTTTGTAATGCCTGCTCCAAATATTCAGTAATGGTAACTGGAAACCATGAAATTCTGCTCTTATGGCAAAAGAAGCAGTTGTTCATGGAGGCGATTAATCCTGTGCCTTGGTGACTTAGAGGTTAAGTGTTTAGTGGCTGAACAAAAAGTTGACTATTTGAATATGCCAGCCACTCCATTGGAGAGAGATGCGCAGTCTGCTTTCAGAACCCTCACGCCTTGGAAACCCTCTCAGGCAATTCTGCTGTGTCTTACAGAGTTGCCGTGAGTTCGAGTCAACCTGATCACACTGGTTTTTAATTTTTTGCTGTGAGTAGAAATCGTAATGGGTGATTACTAGAGTAATGCCATAGACCTAACTGGGGGTGTTAGTGTACTATATACACCAAACTGCCCTTCTCAAATCTGAACAATTCTGAATTTTGAAATACAAATAAAAAATTCTGATAAGGGGGTATAGGCCTACATGATACTGTTTTTGTGCCCTGTGCCAGATTGTTTAGGATGAGAGTGCTCTTTTTAGCACTGTTTGGAAAATGTTGTGGTTGCCTGCATGATAATCATGAGATTGAGAATAATGATTCTGTAGGACCAGAACACTAATTACTGACAACTTCCTCTATGTCTATTGTTTAGTAGCTAATTTCCTCTTACAGTTAATCATAGGCTAGTTTGAATTAATAGGAACTGAAGTGGTATAGAAATGCTTTCTTTAATCCTATTATTATTATCCCTTCTTCCTATCCTTATTATAGGTGCAACAATGTATACTGTATATTTTACTCTTGGTGCTTGGCCAAGCCTTGACTATGACATTTTTTCTTGCTCCCTGCCCATTCTTCCATTCCCCTGTTGCCATTCTTCCTCCCCCTAACAACCGATATTTTAGATTTTTATTTGTTTGATTGGTAGTAAAGAGGATTAGAAGATTACTGAGTAATGTTGGTGTAGAGGTACTAGGTTCCCTAGGCAGGATTAGAAGGCATTCGATAGAAAGCTTAGAGACCTGCCTGAGGTCTTTAATCTTCTCATCCCATATTTTTATTAATTACTGTGGGTGTTCATTTCTAAAATGGATCCATTTTTACAGTTCATCAAGTCTTTCTGTTCTTGGGGCTATAGACATTATTGCCTAGAATTTTAGAAAAGTTTAAATAACTCTTAATTTGTTAATATGGATTGCATACAAACAAACAGGATACTAACTATAGACAATGTGTTCTACATATAATGCTTAGTAGCTATTTTTTTTCTTTTATAGTTAATTACAGGGCTGGCTTGAGTTAATCGAAACTAATGGTAGGTAAATGTTTTCTTGAAAAAATGAAAATTGGTAACTTCTTTTGAAACATTTCTATGCCATTGCTGTTGTCTTATTTTACCTTATACTTGCTGCTTCTAAAATTCATGTGGTATCTTAGGATTGTGGAAAAGTGGAGTGACATAAATGTATGTCCTCCCTTTTGCTTGGGGAAAAGTGAAATCAACGAAACACAGGTTTTTGGGTAAGCTTTTCCTTACTCTGAATGTGAATCTTTTGATGTTTGCAAGTCCAGATAGTTTGTAAAAAGGTGATGTAAGGAAAGAGAATTTGGTCTACAAGCCTATTTACTTTTAGGAAAAAAATATTGCCTCTAGGGTACCAAATATTATATGAGCAATATGATACAACATGGTGATTTTCTTTTTAATGTCTGTTTTAATTTAGAATTATATAGACATTCATCTTCATTATTGCTATATTGAACTAAAACCATTGCACCAACTTCATTGATTTATTATTTAACCTGGTTGGGAATGTCTACCATTATTTGACCTAAATTTGTTTATATTATTTTGCAAGTTATCCACAAATTTTGGTGATTTCATTTGTGTCAGCGTGCTGTGTGTGTGTGTGTATGTATATACATATGTGTGGTTTTTTCTCATATTTTCAACAGATTCTGAAGGGAGTGGTAATGGAAGTGAAGACCCATCAAAGGACAGTGGCGAAGGCTCCTGTAGTGATTCTGAAGAAAATATTTTAGAGGAGGAACTAAATGAAGGTATTAAAATAAAAGAAGAACAAATAAAAAATTCTGTGGAGGAAGAAATACTCTCATCAGAAAAACAGTTAATTAAAATGGAAAAAAAGGAGGAGGAAGAGAATGGCGAAAGACCCAGGAAGAAAAAGGAGAAGGAGAAGGAGAGTGAAAAGGAAGCAGACAAAGCCACAGTGTCTGATAGCACGGCAGCTCCTGCTGCTGCCCCTGCCTCTGCCCCGAGCCCTCAGGCCGTTAATGCATCTCCGTCTGTCCCCAACACGACACCCGCCACCGAAGAGCAAGTTAGTGAGCCCAAAAAGTGGAACCTCCGTCGAAACCGACCGCTGTTGGATTTTGTGTCCATGGAAGAGCTGAACGACATGGATGACTATGACAGCGAGGATGACAATGATTGGCGACCCACTGTAGCAAAGAGAAAGGGAAGATCTGCCTCCCATAGAGAGGGGAGTGATGGAGACAATGATGATGATGAAGACGAGGGAAGTGGGAGTGATGAGGATGAGAATGACGAAGGCCATGATGATGATCATAGCAGTCCTGCCAGTGAGGTTTGCAAGAAGAAGAAGAGCAAAGTTCTTAGCAGAAACAGTGCTGATGACGAAGAACTGACCAATGATAGCCTGACACTTTCTCAAAGCAAGAGTAATGAGGTAGATCACCCGATTTTTATGATATCTGTCTGTCTGGGGAAAAGGGAATTCTTCTCTAAATCACTCTCCTAGTTATACTCTCTGGCTTCCTTGAAATCCTGTTGTGTAGACAGCTGTGGGCATTAATGCGAGCCTTACCTGTAGCATTTATTCATTTGGCCAGCAACCCTGTATTGAGCATCTTTTTGTCACCGTCCTCAAGGAGCTCACGGCCCAATAGACCCTTAGAGAAATTAGAGAAATGTTTGTATATCCAGACTTGGAAAGTGCTAGAATTTTCCATTTTCTCTTCCATCCTCTCATCCCATTGTTCATAGGACGGCCGAATGGTGCTGAGTGAATTATGAAAACAAAGGCCACCTTCATTGTGTCTCATCCACATAAAGATTCTGCTTGAGTAGAATTTAGAGTAGAGCAACAATTTGGTTACTGCCTGTCTCATACTTTTAAACACCTAATTTAAAAGTCCTTAATAGTTGTAACACGTGCCATCCGAATAGTCACGGAATCTTTGCTTTATATATGTGGAAGTAAATATGAACTATGTGTTTACATATAGTTAGTAAATAAGTATCTACAGAGAAAAACCAAAAAACCATTTCTTTTGCTTATCGTAAAACTCCAGTAATGGCTCAGACCTTCCACTTGAAGTCCTCCTGCTGAAAGTCAGGGTTACCCATTGGGCCCAGAGACGCACCCTTCAAGACTCTTCGTCAAACACATTGGTGTCTCTGTCTGTGTGTTTATGTCTGTTTTTCTTCAAACAAGAGACCGCCTTGTCATCGTACATGTTGATGTAACTGTTGACATCACATGTAGAGCTATAATAAAGTCTGACATTTCTGTTAATGTGTTAGAGTCACCAAAATTCACTCCCTTACCAAACACTTCTTTTTCTTTTTTTCCTTCTCATTTCATTGAAGTAGGTTAAACTGGTAGAAAGTATTTTTATTTTCCTTTGCTTGATTTGTTCCTTCACATTTCTTCTGCTTAAACGTTTTAACGGAGGGGTGATTATCTGTTTTAATTAAGTTTAATTTAACATATTTAGAGATTTTCTTAAGGAGGCTCTGAAGAGGTAACTGTCGGTAAAGGTGAAACAACAGTTTGCATTTTAGATCATAAAATTATCAGCTAGCTTCTAGGCTGCCCACTTTCATATAAAGAACGGTTCCTACTTCAAATGCCATCCTAATTCTTATTCCACATCTTCCTTTGGAATGAAATATTCATAACAATGTAACACAGGCAGGTCTAGGGAACTAATTTAGGGAAAAAGAGAGATAAAAAACCCCAATAGTTTATATTTTATTTTGGCATGTATCCAATTCTTATAGTACTTAGTACTCATTCGGTATCTACTGAATAAAATTACCTTTAGGAGCAGCATTACTTCCTTAATTTCATTTTTAGTTTATTTGTACATCCTTAGAAATTTTCCATGTAAAATATATAAAATTTTCATTAATAATTTGTAACATATTGCTTAATAGGGTACATTTAAAGACCACTTGAGTTTTTCCGATTTTTTACCACTAGAAGAGTGGTAAAATTTAGGTTAATAGGCCCAAATATATTCCAGGAATGAGATTCTAAAGCATCCCTTAGATAAGTGCCCTGACACAGTTGTCAAGAAGTTTCTTTTTATATTGGGTAAATTAAATTTATCTTGTGCTAATTTATGTTAATTTTCTTTTTGCTTTGTTATTTGCAGACAAGTAGAAAAGCTTGTTGGTAGGTAGTTTTCCTCAGATGATTCTTTCAGCTAAAAGATTGATAATTTTACGCCCAATAGTCTATAATTTAAGCCCTGATGATTTTTTGATGATTCTAGCTCTACCTAAATTATGCCTCTTAAAGCTAGACATTAAATTTTAATTAAAAAATGAGTGCATTTCTGTTCATGAGATAGGGATTTTAAAAGAAGTGAAAAGACAACATTTAATTCTTATTGCTTTTTGGCAAACTATTGTATCTTCTTGGTTTAAGTGTAAATTTGAATGTTTATTGCCTTAGAGTAGAGAGTGGAGTAGAGTTGATAATATGGCTCTAAAATGGCTTTAGAACAGAAATATTAACATATTTTGTTTATAAGCAGACTTTTCAGGGCAACTATATGAAACATATTTGTAGGGACCCAATTTGGGGCATCATTTGTAGGTTAATGATGCCCAGAAACTGTCATAACCATAGAGTTTCATAGGAGAAGTTTCTAAGTTGTTAAGTTAGGGTAGGTCCTTCCTTTTATAATTTTTGTGCTTAGTGAAAGCTTCTTGATTTTAGGACTTACATAATATTGAGGGCCTCAATTATTGTTTCAGGTGGCTTATTTCAGAAATGGCACCATAGCTGCGTAGTGTGATACCATTCAACCATGCAGTTTCTGCAAGACTCCACTGTATACCCATAAGGAAAAACTCTTTCAGAACCATTGAGTCGATTGATTCAGGAAAAGGAAAGTGAAAAACACAAATACCATCTTAGGACATAATTATTAAGGTAGCAGTAGTATGAAATTAGCCTTGACCTTGTGGGTATCTTGTGTTATTTAGAATTGAATACTTGATAACTTCTATTTTATAAGCATGGGCACCTGCCTTTGTCAATGGCTTTTTGACACCTTAAAATTTCAGTTTAGCCTGAATAATTCCCTTAGAATCTAGTTCTATTTTTTTTCCCTCCCTTTTCCACCATTTGGTCTTGATACTTTTGCTAAATTATCTTGTTTTATAAATTTTCTGAGATGGATTTATTTTGGGAGTGACTGTGTAGCATTTTCAGAGAATAGCTGCACTTTCCAGACTTTGAAATTCCAGCCTTTAATGAAAATTAGTATATGAGAGAAAATCTATTCAATACAAATGGTCAGATAGCAATATTTTAAGCTTCCATTTTCACAAAAAGGCAGTATGAAATCATTTGAAGTACTGTTTTATGCATGCATTCTTATCCCCTTTGCTTATTAGAAAACCCTCTTTTTAATGTCAAATGGGTTAATTGTATTGCCATGTTACAAAATGGCCAGTACCTCCCAATTGTTGCCAATTAAAATGTAACAGTTTTGCTAACATTTATAAAAGACCGTTTTTCTGTGGGGCCTCTGTCTTACTAATTGAATATTTTATACGCATTTTAAAACAAAACAAATTGCTTGAAGTTCTAAAAAATAACCTTTTTGTAACTGTCCAAAAATTAATTTTAATTCCTGATAATTCAAAGTGGTTTCGCATGACATTTCTGGAATTAACTTAAAACTTTATCCTGTTATATATATGGTTTAAAATTCTTTATATAGAGTAAACATATAATAGGACCATGAAGAACATTGGACAATATTATCTGTTATTTTGTGTGTACATTTTTTTATCCCAAGGTAAAAATGAAAAGAACTTGATATATAATATACTATACTATATTACCATACCATCCCATTTCAAACCAATATCAAACTTTCTGTCACTGAATGAATTCTGACTTTGACTGAATCTATAGGACAGAGTAGAATGCCCCCTGTGGGTTTCCCAGTTTATAAATCTTTGCGGGAGCAGAAATCACATCTTTCTCCTTTGGAGTGACTGGTAGTTTTGAACCACCAACCTTATGGTGAACAGCCCAACACCTAATCCACTAGGCCACCAGGGCACCTTTGTAGTGCCATATCTACTCTTCATGTAATTGCATTAGGTTCATAAAAAATAAAGTGCTCTTTTGCCATTCAGAGCCCACTTTACTAAATTCTAATCTTTATGTTTAAACCATAGTTTTAACGTTAAAGTTTAGCTTCAATATTTTCTCCAGAAACTTAAAAGATGACATAAAACTTTAGAAATAGCAGAAAGTGATCATAAGTAGGTTTTTATTTTCTTATCACAAGTGTGCTTAAGCCCATGTTTGATGTATGAAAGAGAATTTAGATGATAACTTTTTAAAAAAGGATGATATATTCAGATATTCTTATTGAAACATTGCCCAGGAAATATCTCCGTAACATTGATTAGGATAATTTTTAACCCTTTAGTTCCCTTGATGTTTTCCCCTTTGCTTTACATTTCTCTCTTAATAGTTTCAAATGATCAGATCATAAGACCAGAAATACCAGTTAATTTTGTTTCTTTTTTTCTGCCTCTAAATTGTAAGATAGGGATACATGATACAGAGATATAATTTAGGCAAGTACCTTTTCTGAGAAAGCAATATTGAACAAAAAGCAAATAGAGGGATTAGGTCTATCAATTCATTATTTCTTAATTTTTCTCACTGGTAAATTCTTAATTTTCTCACTGGGTAAATCTTTTTGCAAAGGCTGATTAGTTCTAATTTCACCAGAGAAATATTGACAGATCTCATAAACTAGAGGGGGTCTCTCCATCACGAAACTGGTTTTTAGGTAGATGTTTCTCTATCTTGGTTTTTATTTATTTTTTAACTTATGTGTGGTTTCTAAGAAAAGCATTTTGCGGGCTTATGTGGGGAAAATATGTAAAGTAAAATTTCCCAGTATAAAATTATGGTGTGCTCATATTTTTCTTCTTGGGCCACGTGCAAGAAATACAGAGAAACGAGAAATGGAGCCAGTATGTACTATCTAGTGTATGCCAGGCACATTCTTTCCATACATGTTACTGTTAACTCTCACCAAACATCATGAGGTAGGTGTTGTTTTCATCATCTCTGTTCTACAGGGGGTAATGCTGCAGCTTCTGGTTCAACAGCATTTCAGTGAGAGTTGGAATGCAACCCAAGAGTGCTGGACCTTCAGTCCAATGCTGTTAATTGAAGGATAGTTAGTGTATGAAAGTCTGGCCAAACATTTGTCTTGCTTACTATACTAAAGCTATATAAAACCCAAGATAAGAGTTGTATCTTTTGGGAGTTCTCAGTTTTATTTGCTAGTGTGTCCAAAGCCCCTAAACTATTTTAGTTTACTTTAAAATGAAGAGAACAGTATAAAACATTAAAGGACTAGAATTCTCATGAGAAATAACATTTCTTGCTTGTTCACTTTGTATTTTTTTCTGATTTGTTTTACAAATCAGCTGCAATTTGAAATGTATTTTTAAAAACTGTATTGAAATAATTTTATTAATCACAGCATTCCAATGTCATTCAAATTTCTAACAAATGACTAAATGTTACCCTTAAATATTGGTTTAGTTTTAAAAGTAGAAAAATACTAATATGAAACAAAATAGTTGTGGATATATGCTGTGAAATAAACTTATTCACTTTATTTATAAATTCGACTAGATTCTTAAATGAAATGTAGACCCAAGTGACAGCTTTTATTATATGTAATATTAAGTGTAATTTATTCAACACGGCAAGAATCATTATCTTATATCACCTAAAGTTCAATATATCATTTAAAATATAAATCTATAATGGAGAAAGTTTAATTAAAATAAGCAGACTTCTTCCTTGAACCTTTAATTAAAATTTTTTCTATTCTTCCCTCTTTCTTCTCTGTGTTATAATGAACTAGATTTTTTCATTATCATTTATAAAAGATAGTTCTTGAGATAAATATAGCAACTTAGTCTGCTAAACAGACTAAATCTTTTGGACTCTCCCTGGGGCAAACAATCAATCTAGATCTTTTTAAAAAAAATTATGTTTTTCTCTACCTTTTCCTGCAGACATTCCTATATAGGTTTCCATGAGTCTATCATTTAAAATTTGATGACTATAGAATTCCCTAGCACTTAAGGATTATAGAATATGTAGTGTGCCATCATACATATACTGCTTTATATGTTATCTTGGAATTTATTTATTCCTGTTTTATATGTGTGTGTCTTGTCTCTGTAGGCAGGATTATAAGCTCCCAAAGAGTAGGGGCCATGCCCTCTACTTATTAAGTGCATATATAAGCTTAGTAATTACTTGCTAGGTAATTTTCTCTTCTACTGTAAAGGAGTCAGACCACAATAAATAATGACAAAGCAAGTGAAGAGGTAGCTGAATGTCTGCTTTTTCATTTACTAGAAGAAGAGAAGATGGGATTGGAGAAGTAAGATATTTGAGATAGAGGCTGTTTTTGAGGGTCTGTGCAAAGAGGTATATTTCTTAAATATTAATTTTTGAATTATTAAGTAAATAGGCTATGGCATGATTTTAGAAAATTATAAAATAATTTGTTGAAGTAAGATTGTGTTGAAATTGCTCCCTAATTTAAATAGGTTATTTTCTTGTATATGTTTATATTTTAATGTTAGGACTCGCTGATTCTTGAGAAGAGTCAAAACTGGAGTTCTCAAAAAATGGACCACATTCTGATTTGCTGTGTTTGTCTTGGCGATAACAGCGAAGATGCTGATGAAATAATCCAATGTGACAATTGTGGCATCACAGTCCATGAAGGTAATTTTGTCTCCTCTCAGAGAGGACTTTCACTGCTTTTTGATGAATTAAATCAACTTTTCACATTTGTGCTCGTGTAAAGTTTTCCCACAATATTTTATAGTGTTTTAATTGGATAATACATAATCATCACAATATGAGAGATAATACTTTTTAGATGCTATTAATTTAAACATCGATAAATAACAAAATGTAAATATTATATGGAAATCAAAGTACTTCTGTAAAGACCAGTGTTATGCTAACTTCCTTGGCATTTTTTATTTCTAGTTTAGAAAATGAAGAATGTCTGGTATGTTCATCCAATAGGATGCATTAGTATAAAACATACATTTTATGCTTTTTGTTAGGATTTCTCATTAGAATTTTTAATTTTCATTTTGCAGGGAGGATTTGTAAAGCTCATCTTTTACTATCTGATATAGGAAGCTCTATTATTTATTATTTTATTTTTACCAATTAGCATTCTTGAATCTTTTTAGTTATGTTTGCTTCTTTAATTTTTAAAATATTTTTTTAATATTTCCATTTTTATTTAAGTTTATTTTGACATAATTGGAGTCCTGGTATTGTAGTGATTATGTGTTGGAATGCTAACTGCAAGGTCAGCAGTTTGAAACTCTGCTGGAGTAAAATAGGGCTTTCTACTTTATTTTTTGTAATCATTTTATTGGGGGCTCATACAGCTCTATGACAATCCATACATATATCCATTGTGTCAAGCACCATTGCACATATGTTACCATCATTTTCAAAACATTTTATTTCTACTTGAGCCCTTGGTATCATCTCATTTCCTCCCCTCCCCTCCCCTCCCCTCCCTCCCTCCCTCATGAACCCTTGATAATTTATAAATTATTATTTTTTTATGTCTTACACTGACCACTGTTTCCCTTTTCTCCCTTTTCCCAATTTTCCGTTGTCCATCCCCCTGAGAGGGGGTTATATGTTGATCATTGTGATCAGTCCCTCCCCCCTCCCCCACCTTCCCCTTACCCTCCTGGTATCACTACTTTCATTATTGGTCCGGGGAGGGGTGATTATCTCTAATTTCTTAAACAGTTGTAGTCTTGGAAACTCACAGAGGCAGCTCTACTCTGTCCTGTAGGCTTGCTGTGATTTGGCATTGCCTTGATGGGAATGAGTTGTTGTTTTTTTTTAATATATATTTTCCAACTGACACTGACTGGGGATATTTATTTCAGAACTACAATGATGGTCTTGTTTTAGAAATCTCTTAACTAAATATGTTATTTCAACAATTATCTGATAGTATTCAAGCAACTCATAAAACAAGAATAGAAGGAACTACTTAAACATGAAAATTTTCTATGAAATTAATAAAAAATTTAATAATGAAATGATAGCAATAGTTCCATTAGAACTAGGCCAAGGTAAGGATGATGTGTATTTACATTATACACCATGATTTTGGAAAGCCTAGTAAGGATAAGAGGTGAAAGATGAGACTTTCTTTTCTTGTAACGATTTATAGTCTCAGAAACCCAAAGGGGTGATTCTCCTCTATCTTGCAGGGTTGCTGTGAGTCAGACTGGGCATCCCGGCAGTGAATAGTACTAATATGGAAGATAAAGTGGCACAACTATTCTACAAGAAGATGAGGAGAAAACGGGTGGGAAGTGGGCAGGGCAAGCTGTTGGGAGGTTTAATAAGTTAAGTTTCTGAACACAAAATTGATCTGAAATGTAATCTCCCAGGAGATGCACAGTAAAAAGCTTAAAAATGGGATAAAATTAAATGAAATAAAACTGAAAGACTGGAAGTAGGGAATCAGAGACATCAGTAGGTAAATGACAACTTCAAGGCAAAAAAAAAAAAAAAAAAAGAATAAATGGTGTACTGCCAAATAGAGAGGAAGTCAAGATGATATCAAGGTAGAATGGACTGTCTTAAACTTGAACAGGTAATAAGTTACAGGGTAACCTCATAGAAAATTAATAAACCTTCTTACCACAATGACCAGGAATAAAATCCTAACAGTTCAGTACCTACTGAAACAGCAGCTATGAAGGAAATAGTAAGAAAACTTGTAAACAAAATAAGCTTGGACAGAAAAACATATAGAGCAATGAAATCATCAGCATCACAGCCACACACACTTACACACACACACACACACACACGCAATCACACACATGGACACACCCACAAAAAGAACAAAAAGCACCACAGGAAAATGACAGCAATATATTTATACCTATCGACAATTACACTGAGTGTAAATGGATTAAATGTACCAGTTAAGAGAGAGAGAGTAGCAAAATGGATAAGAAAAAAATGACCTCTTTATATAAATGTATACATATATATTTGTATAATATATATAAATATGCATTTGTATGTATATGTGTGTATATATATACACATATATAATATATTGTCCATAGAGTTACACCTTAGATACTAAAAAATGGCTCAAATTCAAAGTAAATTAAAAAAAATATATATCAAGCAAATGGCAACCAAAAAGGAGGAGGAGTGCAGGATAAATTGTGATAAAATAAATGTTAAGGCAAAAACCAAGAAATACTAGCAATAGAGACAAAATGACATTATATAATGATTCAGGATCAATTCATAAATAAGATATAACCATAATAAATATCTATGCTCTCAAGAAAGAGTACTGAAACACATAAATCAAACTTTAAAAGAACTAAAAGAAATAGACAATTCTATAATAAGATTTTTTAATATACCCTTTTTGTTGAAGAACAGAACAATTAGAAATTCAACAAAAATACATAAGATTTGAACAACATAATCAGCCAAATTCATTTCATAGACAAACACAGAATGCCCCACCCATCCACAGCACAGTATGTGTTCTAGTCCATGTGGAAAATTCTCCACATAGATTCAAGTTTAAGCCCTAAAATAAGCCTCAATAAATTCAAGACCATTGAAATACTAGAAAGAATCTTCATATAGATCACAATGTTATAAAATTATCAATCAACACTAGGAATTTAGAGACACATATAATAACATTAATAGACATTGAATAATGCCTTGCTTAGAATCTACTGGGTAATAGAAATTTTTAAAAAGGAAAATAAAAATTTCTGAATCAATGAGAATGAAAATACTACACACCAAATTCTTTAGAATATAGCAAAAGCAGTGCTCATGTATACATGTATTTATAAATGTACACATCAAAAAGGAAGAATTAAAAACAACACCTTCATCCAACATCTCCAGCAAGGGGAGGAAAAAAAGGCAACTGTTGCCAAAAGAAAGGAAATAAAAACGGCTCGAGCAGAAAGAAGACAATAGACAGAATCAACCAGACTAGAAGTTGGTGCTTTTAAAGAGTAATAAAATTGACAAAAATTGGAAAATTTAACAAAGGAGAGGATGCAAATGACACAGACATTGAAAATAGGTGAGGTATTATAACTAATTGAAATTAAAAGGGTAAAAATACTATAAAGAACTGTACTCCTATGAATTTGAAAATCCAGAGGAAATGCACAAATTTCTTGAAACACGCTACCTGCCAAACTAACGTAACCAGAGGTAGAAAACTTGAAGAATCCCATCGCAAAAGAATAAATTGAACAAGTCATTGAACACCAAACAAAAAGACTCCTAGCAAAAATGAAGTTCTGGCCCAGATGATTTCACTGATGAATTCTACCAAACGTTTAGGGAAGATCTGAGATCATTTCAACTTAAGCTATCTTAAAACGCAGAAAAAGACTCATTTATTAAGCGAGCCTAACCCTAATATTAAAACCATGTAAAGAAACTCCTAGAAAAGAAAATTAGACAAGACCAATATCTTTCTTGAGCATAGAGAGGGCCATTTTCAATAAAATAATAGTGAATAACCTCCTACCCCCACCCACAATTATATTCAAGTGGGATTCATACTTGGTATGCCAGGATGGTTCAACAAGAGAAAACAATTTATTTAATTTACCTCATAAATGAAACCAAGGAAAAGTCATATCAACTGATGCAAAAAACCCCCCAAAAAACCAAACCCAAACATTTGACAAAATTCAGCACACATTCTTGTGGAACTTGCTAAGCAAAATAGGAATTATAGAAAACTTTCTCAACATATAGCGAATATACCCAAAACCAATGGCTCATATTATTCTGAATGGGAAGCAGACAAAGGTGCCGTTTATCACCACTTCTTTTTAATACTCTGGTAGAAGTCTTAGGGCAATAAGACAAGAAAAGGAAACTAAAGGAATCTAAATTGGCAGAGAAGTGGCACTCTATTTGAAATGATGTGATCCTATATGTAGAAAGTCCCTAAGACTCAACTAGAAAATGATAGGAACTGATAGAAGAATTCAACAAAGTGGTGAAGGATACAATATAAACATACAAAAATCAGACTAAGAGAATTCTGAGAGGGAAATCAGGAAAACAATACCATTTACAATAGCCACACAACACATATATTTAGGAATGCATTTAACCAGAAACAGATGACCTGTATGAAGAAAACTATGAAGCACTACTCCAAGAAACCAAATGAGACATAAATGAGAAAACTGATAAAAATGCTCATGGGTAGGAAGACTTAATGTTATGGAAATGTCAATGCTTCCCAAAGCAATCTACAGAATCTTGATTCAGAATTCCATCACCATCCTCTAAAGAGATGGAAAAATTAATTGCCAACTTTATATGAAGAGAAAAGAGACTCCAGATTAAGTAAAACACTACTAAAGAAGAACAATGTAGGGAGGCCTCACATTCCTTTATCTCAAAACCTACTATACACTTAATAGTCAAAGTAGCCTGCTACACTGTTTCCCCGAAAATAAGACAGTGTCTTATATTAATTTTTGCTCCCAAAGATGCTCTAGGTCTTATTTTCAGGGGATGTCTTGTTTTTCCACGAAGAAGAATACAGTACACATTTATTGTTTATTGTTTTCTTGTTTTATTAAAAAAGACCTTGCACTTCCTGTCTGCTCCTGCTGTGCTATGGCCAAGAGTGAGCTGCGCAG